TGATGTATGTGGTCCGATGAATATTGAGGCTCACGGCAGGTATCATTATTTTCTGATCTTCACAGATGATTTGAGTAGATATGAGTATATCTACTTGATGAAACACAAGTCTGAAACATGTGAAAAGTTCAAAGAATTTCACAGTGAAGTGGAGAATCATCGTAACAAAAATAAAAGTTTCTACGATATGATCGCCGAAGTAAAATATTTGAGTTACGATTTTGGCCTTCAGTTAAAACAATGTGAAATAGTTTCACTACTCACGCCACCTGGAACACCACAGTGTAATGGTGTGTCTGAACGTCGTAACCGTACTTTATTAGATATGGTGCGATCTATGATGTCTCTTACCAATTTACCACTATCGTTTTGGGGTTATGCATTAGAGACAGCTACATTCACGTTAAATAGGGTACCATCTAAATCCGTGGAGATGACATCGTATGAACTGTGGTTTGGCGAGAAACCTAAGATGTCGTTTCTTAAAGTTTGGGACTGCAATGCTTATGTGAAAAAGTTTCAACATGATAAGCTTGAACCCAAATCGGAGAATTAAATCTTCATAGGATACCTAAAAGAAACTGTTGGGTACACCTTCTATCACAGATCCGAAGGCAAGATATTCGTTGCTGAGAATGGATCCTTTCTAGAGAAGGAGTTTCTCTCGAAAGAAGTGAGTGGGAGGAAAGTAGAACTTGATGAGGTAACTGTACCTGCTCCCTTATTAGAAAGTAGTTCATCACAGAAATCTGTTCCTGTGACTACTACACCAATTAGTGAGGAAGCTAATGATGATGATCATGTAACTTCAAATCAAGTTACTACATAACTTCGTAGCTCAACCAGAGTGAGATCCGCACCAGAGTGGAACGGTAATCCTGTTCTGGAGGTCATGTTACTTGACCATGACGAACCTACGAACTATGAGGAAGCGATGATGAGCCCAGATTCCGCAAAATGGTTTAAGGCCATGAAATCTGAGACGAGATCCATGTATAAGAACAAAGTATGGACTTTGATTGGCTTGCCCGTTGATTGGTGAGCCATTAAGATTAAATGGATCTTCAAGAGGAAGACGGACGCTGATAGTAGTGTTATTATCTACAAAGCTAGAATTGTCGCAAAAAAGGTTTTTGACAAGTTCAAGGTGTCGACTACCATGAGAGTTTCTCACTCGTATCTATGCTTAAGTCTGTCCGAATCATGTTAGCAATTGCCGTATTTTATGAAATCTGGCAAATGGATAAACAAAACTTCATGGATTTATTAAAGAAGAGTTGTATATGATGCAACCAGAAGGCTTTGTCAATCCTAAAGGTACTAACAAAATATGCAAGCTCCAGCGATCCATCTATGGACTGGTGCAAGCATCTCGGAGTTGGAATATACGCTTTGATAAGTTGATCAAAGCATATAGTTTTATACAGACTTGCGGTGAAGGCTGTATTTACAAGAAAGTGAGGGGAGCACTACAACATTTCTGATAAGTATATGTGAATGACATATTGTTGATCGGAGATAATGTAGAATTATTCTGCAAAGCATAAAGGAGTGTTTGAAAGGAGTTTTTCAAAGAAAGACCTCGATGAAGCTGCTTACATATTGAGCATCAAGAGATAGATCAAGACGCTTGATAAGTTTTTCAATGAGTACATACCTTGACAAGATTTTGAAGTAGTTCAAAATGGAACAGTCAAAGAAAGAGTTCTTGCCTGTGTTACAAGGTGTGAAACTGAGTAAGACTCAAAGCCCGGCCACGGCAGAAGATAGAAAGATAATGAAAGTCATTCCTATGCCTTGGCCATAGGTTTCTATAAAATATGCCATGCTGTGTACCAGATCTATTGTATACCCTACACTATTTTTGGCAAGGGGTACAATAGTGATCTAGGAGTAGATCACTAGACAACGGTTAAAATTATCCTTAGTGGAATAAGGATATGTTTCTCGATTATGGAGGTGACAAAAAGGTTCATCGTAAAGGGTTACGTCGATGCAAATTTTGACACTGATCCAGATGACTCTAAATCTCAATATGGATACATATTGAAAGTGGGAGCAATTAGCTAGAGTAGCTCCGTGCAGAGCATTGTTGGCATAGAAATTTGTAAAATACTTACGGATCTGAATGTAGCAGACCCGTTGACTAAACTTCTCTCACAAGCAAAACATGATCACACCTTAGTACTCTTTGGGTGTTAATCACATAGCGATGTGAACTAGATTATTGACTCTAGTTAACCCTTTGGGTGTTGGTCACATGTCGATGTGAACTATGGGTGTTAATCACATGGTGATGTGAACTATTGGTATTAAATCACATGGCGATGTGAATTAGATTATTGACTCTAGTGCAAGTGGGAGACTGAAGGAGATATGCCCTAGAGGCAATAATAAAGTTATTATTTATTTCCTTATATCGTGATAAATGTTTATTATTCATGCTAGAATTGTATTAACCGGAAACATAATACATGTGTGAATACATAGACAAACAGAGTGTCACTAGTATGCCTCTACTTGACTAGCTCGTTGATCAAAGATGGTTAAGTTTCCTGACCATTGACATGGGTTGTCATTTGATTAACGGGATCACATCATTAGGAGAATGATGTGATTGACTTGACCCATTCCGTTAGCTTAGCACTTGATCGTTTAGTTTGTTGCTATTGCTTTCTTCATGACTTATACATGTTCCTATGACTATGAGATTATGCAACTCCCGTTTACCAGAGGAACACTTTGTGTGCTACCAAATGTCACAACGTAACTAGGTTATTATAAAGGTGCTCTACAGGTGTCTCCGAAGGTACTTGTTGGGTTGGCGTATTTCGAGATTAGGATTTGTCACTCCAATTGTCGGAGAGGTATCTCTGGGCCCTCTCGGTAATGCACATCAATTAAGCCTTGCAAGCATTGCAACTAATGAGTTAGTTGCGGGATGATGTATTACAGAACGAGTAAAGAGACTTGCCAGTAACGAGATTGAACTAGGTATTGAGATGCCGACGATCGAATCTCGGGCAAGTAACATACCGATGACAAAGGGAACAACGTATGTTGTTATGCGGTTTGACCGATAAAGATCTTCATAGAATATGTAGGAGCCAATATGAGCATCCAGGTTCCGCTATTGGTTATTGACCGGAGACGTGTCTTGGTCATGTCTACATAGTTCTCGAACCCGTAGGGTCCGCACGCTTAACGCTACGATGACAGTTATATTATGAGTTTATATGTTTTAATGTACGGAAGGTTGTTCGGAGTCCCGGATGTGATCACGGACATGATGAGGAGCCTTGAAATGGTTGAGACATGAAGATTGATATATTGGAAGCCTATGTTTGGATATCGAAAGTGTTCCGGGTGAAATCGGGATTTTACCGGAGTACCGGTAGGTTACCGGAACCCCCCGGGAGCTTAATGGGCCTACATGGGCCTTAGTGGAAAAGGAGGGAAGCAAGGGAAGTGTGGGGCACGCCCCCCAAGGCCCAAACCAAATTGGTTTAGGGCAAAGGGGGACGCCCCCTCTTTCCTTCTTCCCCCTTCCCAAGTCCTAATCCAACTAGGAAAAGGGGGGGGGGGGGTTCTACTCCCGGTGGGACTAGGACTCCTCCGGCGCGCCTCTCCCCTTGGCCGGCCACACCCCCTTGGGCGCCTCTCCTCTCCCACCAATTGGGCCCATGAGGCCCAATAACCTCCGGGGGGTTCCGGTAACCCCCCGATACTCCGGTATATATCCGATAACCCCCAGAGTCATTCCGGTGTCCGAATATAGTCGTCCAATATATAAATCTTCATGTCTCGACCATTTTGAGACTGCTCGTCATGTCCGTGATCACATTCGGGATTCCGAACTACCTTCGATACATAAAAAATACATAAACTCATAATATAACCGTCATCGAACTTTAAGCGTGCGGACCCTACGGGTTCGAGAACTATGTAGACATGACCGAGACACGTCTCCAGTCAATAACCAATAGAGAAACCTGGATGCTCATATTGGCTCCTACATATTCTACGAAGATCTTTATCGGTCAAACCGCATAACAACATACGTTGTTCCCTTTGTCATCGGTATGTTACTTGCCCAAGATTCGATCGTCGGTATCTCAATCCCTAGTTCAATCTCGTTATCGGCAAGTCTCTTTACTTGTTCCGTAATACATCATCCCGCAACTAACTCATTAGTTGCAATGCCTGCAAGGCTTATAGTGATGTGCATTACCGAGTGGGCCCAGAGATACCTCTCCGACAATTGGAGTGACAAATCGTAATCTCGAAATACGCCAACCCAACAAGTACCTTCGGAGACACCTGTAGAGCACCTTTATAATCACCCAGTTACGTTGTGATGTTTGGTAAACGGGAGTTGCATAATCTCATAGTCATAGGAACATGTATAAGTCATGAAGAAAGCAATAGCAACATACTAAACCATCGAGTGCTAAGCTAACGGAATGGGTCAAGTCAATCACATCATTCTCCTAATGATGTGATCCCGTTAATCAAATGACAACTCTTTGTCCATGGCTAGGAAACATAACCATCTTTGATCAACGAGCTAGTCAAGTAGAGGCATACTAGTGACACTCTGTTTGTCTATGTATTCACACATGTATCATGTTTCCGGTTAATACAATTCTAGCATGAATAATAACATTTATCATGATATAAGGAAATAAATAATAACTTTATTATTGCCTCTAGGGCCTATTTCCTTCATCAAGAGCTTTGGTTATGCAAGCAAGAGCTGTTGCTGTCCTGGCTTGGTTTTAGCATGTACAAAATGAAGAGCCTAAAATGCACGGATAAGAGCTCCAAGTGTCTGCCAAAAAAAGGTAGGAGAGCTCCAAAGAGCTCCAAAGTGTTCTGGTCACTTCTTTAGACTGGGCATATTACATGCATTCAGGTGTACATATCTTGAATTTGCTCATGAAATTACATCACAAATCCTTTATTGTAAAAGACAAAGAAAAGACTAGGCAACTCTCTGTCTAGCGCCTCAAAACCATTTTCTTGCACCAGCAACCGTAGACTACCAGTAGTACAACTGTCAATGCAAATCCAACTCCAAAGCCTACACCAACAAAAAGCCATAACATGATATCATCAAATGGTGATCCTTCTTGCACAGGAGGTGGCAGCGACGAAGATGGTGAAGTCACGAATGTAAGGTTACATTTCACAAGAAGTGGGCACCCGTACAGCCCTCTGTTTCCGCCCTTGAACGAGCTGCTGGTGAATGTGGAAAACTGGCTGCCCGAAGGTATCCTCCCACTGAGATCATTGTAGGAGAGGTTGAGCCACTCGAGTGTGGTCAACATGGCCAGCTCCTGTGGGATCTTCCCCACGAGACGGTTCCAGGAGAGGTCCAGTGACTCAATCCGGGCCAACTGGCCGAGCTCGTGTGGGATCTTGCCCCTGAAAGCATTGTGAGACAAGTTTACCACGTGAAGGTACGTGAGGTTGCCGATTGACCGTGGGATGAACCCACTGAATCGGTTGCACGACAGGTCAACCACCATCAGGTCAGCTGGGACTTTTGCCACCCTCATGTATTGTTGTTTCATCGCCACATCGATCACAACCTGATAATTCGATCTTCCAGCTCGCGCTTGCACTGTATAATCATATTCCGAGGTTCCATTTGGGTCCAAAACCATGGACCTGAAACTCTTGAATAAATATGGTGGTAGATCGCCGCTGAAGCCGTTTCCTGCAAGGTCAATGATTTGTACACTGGCGAAGTAACGGGCGCTTGAGTTCTTCTCCACAAGAGGGGGGATGCTCACCGGGCCATGAAAATTGTTGTATCTCAACACAAGTATCTGAAGCTCCTGTAGCTGACCTAACCATACAGGGAAAGAGTCCACGAAACGGTTCCCTCCAATGTCAAGGGCTAGCAAGTACTGACACCGAGCTAATGATCTCGGCAGGTGCCCCTGGATGTGGTTTCCATGTCAGTCTATCAGCCTCAGGTTACATGATTCATCGATATCGTCAGGCCATGTTCCGTTAAGGCGATTTCCCCTCAAGTTCAACACAGCGAGGTCATTGCAACCTTTCAGCAAATAAGGTGGCACCAACCCGCTGAAATTATTGCCGGATAGGTCGAGTATTTGGAGAGGATCATGCTTATGACATTCTGAGTAGGGGATAGCCCCACTCAGTTCATTGTTCGCAAGGTTGACAGAGTAGGCGACCTCAAACTGTCGGAGGAAACTGCTTGGAGGGATGGAAGAGAATTTGTTATTGGAGTAGTCAAGATCGTAGGCGTCGAAAGGGAAAGGCACAGCGCCACCGAGCATATTGAAGCTAAGATTGATGAACCGTATATTAACATAGTGCAGGGGCTGACCCACGGTGGTGAAGTGGTTGTGAGAGAGATTCAAAAAGCTCATGTTTCTCCAAATCCAGTCAGGGATCTCCCCATGAATTTGATTGGAAGAGAGATCCAAATCTTTTACTCCCGGTAGATATCTAACGGCAAGGGGCAACCTTGTTAGGTTACAGTATGCTAGATGCAGGATAGAAATACTACTATTACTACTAGCATCGACTTCATTACCATCCCCGGAAGCAGATAACAATGGGTTATAGGAGGCTGATATCATACTCCCTCCGTCTAGGTGTGTAAGTCATCTTACGAAAACTAAATAATCCCAAAACACTTAGGCGCGGTACATTAACTTCTACCTCGTTTTTTGTTTTTTGGCATATCAACCAATGAGAGATGAGAGGTGTCTACGTCTTTAATGTCTTGAGACTACCAAACATGACATGCAGTGGTTAATTCATTGCATGCAATGCTATTAATTAACAAATAACATTAAAGTCTCTCATTTTCCCCTCCTCCTTGGTCACGGTGCACAACCTAAGATAACTTACTCACCTAGACGGAGGGAGTACTAAGGTTCCTTAGCCTCAAGAACGGGTTTAGATCCAAGGTACCCGTGAAATTGTTGTTGTCAAGTTGCAGGGACTGAAGAGCAGTGAGATAGGAAAAGGAAGCTGGAACTGAACCTGTTAGCTGATTGCTGCTCAAGTCAATGTCAGTTAGCTTAGCTGATGGATTCTGGAATTCCTCAATAGCACCAGAGAGTCGGTTCATTTGGAGGCACAATGTCTGCAATGCTGGCAGAGTGAACAAGGATGCTGGAACTGTCCCCGAGAGTGAATTATTGCTTAAACGCACCTCTATGAGATATGGGTACATATGTCCGTCGAGAGGAACCGGCCCTGTAGAAGAAAATTGTGTTAATTATAAAACTGGTAGCCAAGGACCGTGTAAGTTCAGATTTATTTCTTAATTTGCAGTAACTTGTCATGCCCCCAGGAAAATAAGACGACAACATGAAAACAGGGTAGCTTGGCCTATGTTGTCGTTGAACTCTCTGGATGTGGCTTGCATCTTGTAAAATTTGAACGAATAAAGCATACCGATAATCTTGAAATATCACTGTATATTGTTTTTTAAAATAAACCATATGATAAAGCACAAGTCCTCTAGTAAAAGTGCCTATGGAATAATAATCTAAATATTCCAATGGAAATCCTTTAAATCAAAGACGGCCTAAATTTGTAGTTCTTGAGTATTTGGTATAGAACATGGGTTTATTTTTTTCTTGGTTGTGTGCATCGTAGCTGTCTTTGGACATGTTGTTGGTACAGAGACCGGGTGTAATTGATATTTTTGAGATATTAATATATTCCCTTTGTCGAAAAAAGAACATGGCTAGTTTTCTTAAATCTGCCCAAGACAATTCGTTTGTACAATTCTTTTTAGATAATGGAGAAGAGCACCTCCACGGGCTCTCCATTCAAAGATGCACACACCCCTTGTCTACAAAGTCTTAAACAGTTTAGTTTTTTTCCAAAGTATAAAGTAACAAGATCAGGAATTCAGGATACACTAAAACTCAGGTAGGACAAACATATTGTTAACCTGTCACTTTTTTGGATATAAACCCCATATATTTTATTTACAGCTGTCATCGTATAATATTTGATAGCAATGTGATGTGGCTAAGAACATTGCAGGATCCAACTATCCAAAAAAAGATGTAACAAATTTGATAGGTACTCCCTTTTATACAAATATAACTCGTTTTAGAAACGTCTTATATTTGTTTACAGAGGAGCAGATGATTTAGCAAGCTGCAATCTTTTCAGAAGTACCAACTTACCTGTGAAGTTGTTGCCGGCGAGCCATACACTTTCAAGTCGTGTTAAGCTTGTAAGCCATGGAATCTGCCCAGACAAACCAGAGCCCTGACAGTCCAGTATGATCAAGTTTGTCAGATTGCTGAGGGCCGAAGGTAGCCTGCCGGAGAAGCTGTTCCAACTGATGTGTAATTCAGTCAGTGACATGAGGCTTCCGATGGAGGTAGGGATGGCCCCAACGAGGTTTGTGCTTCCAAGGTCGAGAATCATGAGATTCTTTAGCCCAGTGACCCCAAGAGGGAATGCAGAAGGCTCGAATCTGTTCTCAGCGAGCACAAGTTCTCGCAGCAAAGGGAAATTGGAATGAGTGAACAAATCAGGCAGAGGACCAGTTAAAGAGTTATAACCAAGATCAACCACCGATAAGGAGTGGAGTCTTGATAACGATGGGTGGAGTGGACCAGAAAGGGAACATCCGGTTAGGCGAAGGATCTGAAGAAGGGGGAAGTGGTTGGCAAGTGCCTTGAAGAACTCCGGCGCTGTGCCGGTGATATTAACTTGCTCTAGATGGAGCTCCTTCAGCTTACTAAGGTCGTTGGCCACTACAGTCGACGGAAGGAGCTCCCATCTGTTGCGTCCAAGGTCGAGGGCCGAAAGATATCGAGTGGGACCTGAAAATAGAAGTTGCAGGTTGACAGGTTGAGGTAGGTCAGTTGTGTCAAGCCCTGGAAACCAGACACCTGAAGCTGGGAGCTGGTAAACGTGTTGTAGGCAAGGTTGAGATATTGGAGAGAGGTAAGCCTGGAGATGGAAGGGTGAAGCTCGCCGATCTGCAGGTTCCGCTCCGGGAGGTCGAGTGCAGTGACCCTCCCGGTAACGTTGTCGCAGCGAACGCCTTCCCAGCGGCAGCAGTCTGTGCCCACTGTCCACGATGACAGTGTCGTGGTGGGCGGCTCGTCGTCGTTGGTGAAGTTGAAGGAACGCTTCACGGTGAGAAGCGCGGCGGCCTGGTCCCTGCGGCAGCGTGCAGGGACCTGCTGGGAGGCACTGCTGTCTGCTGAACGGGCGTGCGAACAATGCACTAGCAGCAGGATTTCTGCAAGGAAACCTAAGGTGACCAACAGTGAGGTGTAGTGAGCAGGCATTGCAGCTGGCGATTTTTCTGGACTCAGGAGAAGACGAGATGAACACACATACTTCTTCTCTGATGCATATATATGTATATATAGAAGATGGCAGGTGTGCAAAAACGAACACGCTAGTTGAGGGCATAATGCCCTATGATCGTACCAAGCACAAAGCCCGCTTTATCTACAGTATATATGTACATCAGAGTCTTTGTCATTGGCCCCCATGTAACACAGTTGCGTTAACAATTGTGGCTTGACGTGGAAAGCTAGTCTCCGCTCCATGCCCTGTTCTTGACTTGGCTCGAGTCTTCAGAGGCTGCTGCCTCGTCCGACAATTCGATTGACGGGGAAAGCTAGTTAAGTATAAACGACAAGCCGTCCAGCCGTGTGGGCCACGTCGTCTTGTTTCTTCGATGTTCATCGAATACAAGCACACGCAGGGGCGGTTGGCAAACACGCAGAAGACTGACCCGGCCAAACAGTGAAATCGACCAAAAAATAATAGCAATACATTCAGGTCCTTACATTGAAATGGACCATCATCGCCGGACTGGCCGCCGGAGAAAGTTTATTGCCTAAGCTTCATTTTGCAAAAAGTTTCAGCTAATTTTGGACTTGTAGATAATTACTTATGAAGTTTTATAAAGTTTTAGGGTCTTTTCTGCAAAACTGTCAGTTATTTAAATTTGACCAAACTGTTCTGGATAATATTTTGGATAAGGTTGGCTACGTGGTAGTCTCTGATTCATCGGTACCAATTCAAAATAAATTAACACGTAACCACCAGTTCCAGATCCAACGGCCAAAATCTAAACGTATTGATTCATTTAAGTGATCTAATCTAACACGTTAGATCAAGATCGGATGGCTAGGGTTTGGTCGAAGCTCACCATGGTGGTAGGTATCGGAAGTCGCGGGAAAACTCAGGCGCAGCGCGACGGCTCAGATGTGGACGACTCGATGCTCCGGTGCTCCCTAGCGGCGGCGAGGTGGTCGACGGGATGCGGTTGACGACGACAAGGCTCCTGGTGGTCACCGTTGTCGCCAAGGTGGACGGAATCGACGACAAGGGCTTGTCAAAGGTGTCCGAGAGGGCAAAACTAGTTTCGGGTGATGACACACTACTAAAAAACGAGCGTGTTTGTACACACAGCTGGGTCAGTAGATGCGCACAAGCAAGAGAAACCAAATGGACATGGTGCAGGGCCAAAAGGACCATGGTGCTCCTCGGAGTTTCGGCAGTGGCGAGCTCCGGTTGACAGTGAACTCTGTGCTCCCAGGTATTCTGGGCATCGGGTTAGTGTCTAGGAGGGTTGCCGGGGGGTGGGGTTCATGTGGTGGTGACAGTTGAGCTTAGGGTGGTCGGGGTT